AAAAAAAAAAAAAAAAAAAAAAAAAAAAAGGAAAAAACACGTAAATTCAATGATCTAATCAAAAATCAACTTGTGAACACAGAAAATAACCTTCCGCCAAATGCGCATTTCATCGTAGACATCCTCATCAAGTGACACGGTGCATGAATAATGAGCAGTAGGAATAATTAAGCACTGATTATCCACCAAAGGTTTCCATGGCGTTACTGTTAAATATGTCTTAAAAGGTTACAGTAACACAGAGGTGATAAAATATCAAAGAAACGGATAAAGAGATGACGAGAAGAAAAAAATAAGAAAAAAATAAGAGATGTATACCAATAAAAATATAAATTTTTACTAATCAAATAATGCCCTCCAAAAATAGACTGTCATTTACTGATTCAAAATTTCAAACTTGTTTTCTACCCCTGTTTTTTGCTTTTTTCTTTTTCTTTTCTTTCTTTGCAAGCAGTCATTGAGATCTAGCGAGTCCAATAAGAACTAACACTTGTGTATAATATCATGTAAAAGTTGAAAAAAAAAACAACTAAACAGATAAAATAGATGTTTAAAGTGATAAGTTCTACCAATCCTGCAGATAAAAAATCTACAACCAGTAACCTTTGAAAAACGATCTACAGACACCAAAAAAAAGTTCAAACAACAAATGACTGGCGAAAAAGACATGTCTTCGTTCCTACACCCTTGTCAAAGCATATCTTTAAAACCAACTAACAAAAGATTTTATCAAACCTGGAAAATATTTCAAAAATTTTTAACAAACAATAAAGCAATTTTCTATTATTTTTGAAAAATCTTTTTCCCCTTCTTTTTTTTCTCCCTCCTCCCATACCAAAAGAATAATAAAAGAACTTGCTATGAACTCACATAGACAGGCATTTCATAAACAAACTAAAATAATAACAACGTAATAAAACAAAGAAAATTGAAAAAAAAAAAAAAGAAACAGGAAAATGGACGGGGAAGAAACATACTTAATTGGTTTTGTTAATACAAATAGTTAGAAGACAAATTTTACCATTATTTTAACCCATTAATCATTGTTATATATCAAGAGATAAGAAGTGCATTTAAAGGCGAAAAAAGGGCAGAGAGAAAAAAATTGAAAGGAGGTTACAATCGCATTTTTAAATAACGAAAAAACCAAGAAAAAAACTGATTAACGACAATTATTCCTTCTTTAAAATAGAACAGATAATAACAAAAAAAAAAAATTTAAATTTTTTTCTTTCCAGTTTTAAGCTAAACATCTAAATGAGTTACTCGTTTTTCAACAACAAACTAACTACCTAATTGCCTAAAAGCGGTAAATAACTGTCCCTAGTAAAAATGCAGATCATTTGTAGGCACTAATCATATGCTTCTCTGCTAGTGGCAGCAACTAACTGACCAGTATTTATTTACTCTTTCTTTCCATCCGAAAAAGAACTTTTACATTCGTTAACAACCAATAATACCTTAAAAAACATTGTAAT